CCGGGCGTGGGCTGTGACTGGCCATGCAGGGCCCTGTGGCCACAGGAGGAAGGGAGCTGCTGGCCAGTGCTGCAGGGGTTAACACAGTCCCCGCGCTGGGCGCCCCCCATAGGTTGGCGCCCTGGGCAGCTGCCCAGCTAGCCCACCCCTTAGTCTGGCCCTGGACTTGATAACTTCTTGAGGTTCTTTCCAGTTCCATTAAAGTTCTCTTAGGACTTACGCCGTGTCTAGACTACACCTGTCAACAGAGAGATGTAGATCAGGCACGTCAAAATTGCTAATGAAGCAGGGATTTAAATATCCAGTGCTTCATTAGCATAAACATGGCCACCGCTTTTTTTTTTCAAAACACAGCTTTTTCGGGGAAAAACCGGCAGTCTAGATGCGGATCTGTCGAAAATAAAACCTTTTCTGACAGATCCTGTAAACCTCATTTTTTGAGGAATACAGGATCTGTCAAAAAAGTGTTTATTTTTGACAGATCCGCGTCTAGACTGGCAGGTTTTTTTTTTTTTTTTCAAAAAAGCTCCGTTTAGAAAAAAAGCAGCCATGTTTATGCTAATGAAGCGCAAGATATTTAAATCCCTGCTTCATTAGCAATTTTGACGTGTCTAATCTACATCTCTCTGTCAACAGAGAGGTGTAGCCTACACACAGCCTTAGAGGCTCATGCGCTAAGCTTCAGTGGTCTCAGGTTTGGTTCCGCCTATCGGTGTTACGCATGGGCAATGCACGGCCCTGTTTATACTTAGGCTCCATTTTCTTTATTTTAAAAACGAAAAGAGACGCGATGAAAGAAGATTATGGGTTGCTGAGCTCCTAATGACGCGCTACTTGTGCATATGGCTGCATTTTAATGAGTTAGGCATATGCCGGCATGGCTTTGCACATGCAATCACTGCCACAGCAAGCCAACAGAAGATCTTTTCTTGCATGCAAACAGCTAGGCGAATGTATAAGGAATCACAGGCATGTGCAGTTCCCCAGTTGTAATTATGTATCTGTAGAGTTTAGAGTGTGTCCGTCTGGCTGTGTGTCTGGCTGCAAGTCTGTTTGTTCAAGAGCTCCCCCTAAACAGTAAGTGCTGAGGCCACCACGTTTGGAATGCCGCTTCCTCTTCTTCTAACTTAAAGCCAGGTCAGGGTTTGGTTGTGCCAGGACAACTGAAAGCCCCAGGAAAAAGGACCGTTTAAAGAGAAGGGCTGCTGTTCGGAGGGACATGATATGGGAGTGTCCACCAGGGGCAGTGAGCCCGCAGGGGAAAGCTATCCTGCAGGGTGTCCACTGGGGGCAGCTGTACCAAGGGAGTGGGAGCAGGGGGGGAGCGCCATCATTTTGCCTGCCAGCACATTGAGGGAGTAGGCCCCCCCTCCCCAAACCTTATCCCCTCCCCCGCTCCCAGCCCTTGGGAGAGGAAGGAGAGAACAGGCCCCCGGCAGGATGGGGCAGTCCCGGGGGGGCAGAGAACACACCCCTGGCGGGTTGGGGGAGACCCCCCCCCCACATCCCCAACTCTTACACACTCCCTGCACCCCCAGCCCATACACACACATCCCTAGAGCCCTGCCCAACGCCGGGTAAGTCTGCTCATTATTTCTATTACCATAATGCAGGGCCAGAACTGCACGGTGCTGGCCACTGTATAAGCCTACCAGAGACCGAGCTTGCAGTCTCAATGCATGCACATCAAATCTGCAGGTGGACTTGCTGGAACTCCCCAGAGGAATGGTCACGTTAGCTGCTTCTGGACAACACTCACCACAATGGGGACCTGACCCAGGCCGGGTCTTTCGCAATACATAAGAATAGCAGCCGTATTTTGGCATCTATTAGCAGGCCACGCCTGAGAAAACCCAGCCCATGTCATAGTAGGATGCCATGAAATGCCCACACTGAAAGACATTTTGTCCCTATTTAGGAAGAAATCTAGCTGGGACACAGGTAGCTTGCTTCTACTGAGTGTGTGAAGTCACACCTAAACCAGGCCTGGTCACCTCAACAAGAGGGGATATGGTGTGTGATCCGGAGATCAACATGTGCAAGGATGATGCAACCATGGGTGCAGTCCCAGTTTGCTTTAATTACAATTATTGCAATTATTAAATCATTTGTCCTGTCTTCCGTAGGTTTTTACGAGCATTAAGTAACCCCCAACATGCCGGGGAGGTGAGCAAATATTGTTCCCATTTTACAGAGAAAACGTTAAGAAGTGGCTGTTGACAGAGCTGGGATTAGAGGGTGAGCAGTCTGCCCCCCAGCTCTGAGCTTAGATCCTGCCATGTCATACTGTCCTCGTGGACAAAGCACTTCACTTCCCTGCCAGTTTCCCCTGCTACAGAATGGGAATAAGAATAGTGTCCGGCACCATGTGTGCAGACAGAGAATCAACACGGGCCTCCTCGACATAACCAGCTTTCTGCTAATGATTAGCGGCGGTCTGGTGTCATTTAGCACATGCTTGTTCTTTCGCAGAAGAGAATGAAAACTGTCATTTCATCCCTACGCTGCTCCATTCTGTCCCGATCTCTGCCTCTGCAACCTTTTGTTTTGTCTCTTTCCCCTTGAAGCATTTTTGATAGTCTCAGAGGGATGGCCACATCTATAGAAATAGATAGATAGATAGATAGATAGATAGATAGATAGATAGATAGATAGATAGATAGATAGATAGATAGATAGATAGATAGATAGATAGTATCATGAGCTTTGGAGGGCGCACACACTTCCTCAGATGAGAGTGGTGTGAGAGGTTCCCCTTTTTTCTCCACGCACATCTGAGGAAGTGGGTTTTGCCCACGAACGCTCCTGATACTGTCGATATATTTTTGTTAGTCTCTTTTTAGGCTACATCTACACTGCACAGTTCTTTTGGAATAAGCTATTCCGGAATAGTTATTCTGAAATAGCTTATTTTGAAAAAACACGTTTATACCTCAGGGAAGCCTCAAAATGAGTCTGAGGCAGGCTTCCCTAATGTAGACGTTCTATCTCGATTTAGAGCCCCAGGAGGAATAGCTTAGAATGGCCCTGGTGAGGGGCTATTTTGAAATAGCAGCAGTGGAGCGTCTACCCATGCCTTATTTTGAAATAGCTATTTCGGAATAAGCGTTATTCTTCATAGAATGAGGTTTACAGAAGCCGGAATAAGCCATCCATTATTTTGAAATTATTTAAAATAACAGAATTGCTGTGTAGACACTTGCATAGTTATTTCAGAATAACAGCTGTTATTCCAAAATAACTGTTGTGTAGACACATCCTTAAGGTGCTACAGGACAACTAATTTTTAAAGCATTTTGATAGATCCTTAAGACTCCTACAAAGCTGCCAGACATAACGCAGGTTAAAGATAACCATTAATAGCCTGTCAATGCTACCGGCACTGAGTGTGGATACAAAATGAGAACAACACACCACGGAACCTGCATCAGCCACACATTAGCCATGCACACACTTTCACAAGGGGTGTCTCTTCCTTACCATGAGGAGGAATGTCCCCAAGGCCTCCGCCAGTCCCTCCCTCACGGTCTTGTTTTTGATGGTGAACACTTTCTTAATTCTCTCCCGCATTCTGCTTTCTGGCTTTGGCTTGCAGCCGATGGCGTCCCTGTTGCAAGAGCAGGTTTCATTGCACAGAACTAAGTTACCCTTTGAAACTTCACCTTCCTTTCATTCACAGCTCAGATCATATGGTTAAAGAGAAACAAACCAATGAAGGAATCGCTAGTCTGAAAGTCCTCTTAAAAAAAAAAAAAAAAGCATATGCCTTTGCATTGGGAAATACCAGGGCAATTATGAAGTAAATGACCATAACACAGATTTGCATTTCTGCAATCAAACAAACAAACCTTGCACCTCCCCATGCCAAGTGTGTTCCCATGGAGATGGAATTATAAACACCCTGTTTATGTTCCTTCAACCTCACTAATTCTTCATAATCTTTAGCACAAGGCACAAAGCAATGAACCCCTCATATGAGCAGTGTTTTGTATCACACTGATGTGGCTTGTAGGAAGGTGCCTCTGCTCTTTAATGGCACAGCAGTGTGTCTGATGGACGCTCTTGCACCAGAAAGCTCTGACTGCCATTCACAGAATGGCCATCAGAGCACCTATGCTTTTTCCGAGAGGGGTTTTTTGTGCAAGAAACCCCAGTTCGTCCACACACGCCTTTTTGCACAAGAATTCTTGTGCAAAAAGGCGTGTGTGGACGAACTGGGGTTTCTTGCACAAAAAACCCCTCTCGGAAAAAGCATAGGTGCTCTGATGGCCATTCTGTGAATGGCAGTCAGAGCTTTCTGGTGCAAGAGCGTCCATGGCAGTATGGACGCTCTCTTGCACAAAAGCACATCTTTTGCGCAAAAGCACATGGCAGTGTGGACGCGCTCTTGCACAAGAACTTTTTGCGGAAGATATCTTCCGCAAAAAAATCTTGCGCAAGGAGCCTGCAGTGTAGACGCAGCAGAGACTGTACTGAAACCAGCTCATGGAGATTTTTCTTTAGCGTCATGGTGCGTCTGCACTGCAGGGCTTACCTCAGAATCACCTACGCAAATTGAGCTATGTCCATTGTGTATATTATTTCAAAATAGTAATTTGAAATTGGGAGCATCTACATAGCACTTATTTCAATATAGAGCACAATTCCTCCGATTTCCCTTACTCCTCATACAATGAGGCTGTGTCTAGACTGGCCAGTTTTGCGAAAATGGCGATCGGGGCTCTTTTGCACAAAAGCGCGTCTAGATTGGCACGGACGCTTTTCCGCAAAAAGTGCTTTTGTGGAAAAGCGTCCGTGCCAATCTAGATGCTCTTTTCCGAAAATGCTTTTAACGGAAAACTTTTCCGTTAAAAGCATTTCCGGAAAATCATGCCAGTGTAGACGTAGCCTGAGGGTTACAGGAGTCGGAGTAAGAAGTCCTCCAGCATGACAGTATTTTGACACTATTTCGAAATAACTGCCTGCTGTGTAGACATGGACTATTATTTTGGAATAGCTAGTTATTTCGAAATAGTGTTGCAGTGTAGACATACCCTCAGTGGTTTTGGTGCAGGAGCCGAGGAGATCGGGCGCTGCTGTCTCATTCAAGTTCCAAGTGACTCTCGCGGGCAGCAAAGTGACAGCTGTGAAAAATCTGAGAGTTGCAACTGTCTAATAGTTCATTTCAAAGGATGGTTCTATATGAGAACATTTTAGTAAGTCAGTAGTTGGGAGCTCTGCCCTTTGAAGTCATAGAATCATAGACTCACAGAGCTGGAAGAGACTTCAGGAGGTCATCAAGTCCAGCCCCCTGCCCTAGGCAGGACCAATCCCAACTCAATCAACCCAGCCAGGGCTTTGCCAAGCCGAGACTTAAAAACCTCTAGGGATGGAGATTCCACCCCCTCCCTAGGGAGCCCATCCCAGTGCTTCACCACGCTCCTAGGGAAATAGTTTTTCCTAATATCCAACCTAGACTGCTGCACTGTAACTTGAGACCTTTGCTCCTTGTTCTGCCATCCGTCACTTCTGTGAACAGCCTTTCTCCAGCCTCTTTGGAACCTCCCTTCCATGAGTCACTGTCATAAACACCCCCCTCAACTTCTTCTCCTCCTCTACATCGCAGGTCTTATCAAATCAATTGTACTATTTTGGAGTTATTATTTTCTGATTTCAGTTTTTTTTCCATTAAAAAAAATTAATTCCGTCATCATGGGTTTTTTTATCAACATTGTTTGATACATTGACACAATTACGTCACCTTCCTGTACATGCATTCAGAATTGGATTGCAATGGGAAAAACGGACTTTACAAAAATATCTGATTATGTAAACAAAACTCTTGCAAATTTACAGTATATAGTCACAGTAGCACATCTGACACTGGTTTAAAGAGGCATGCGGAATTATGACCAAGCTGACATTATTGAACAGTAATTCTAGAGGTCCACAAAAGTGGGGAGGGGGGATACATAATACATACGTGTGTGTGTATGTGTGTGTGTGAGAGAGAGAGGGTGGGGAATGTGATGAGCGAGAGAGTGGGGTGTGGGTATGTCTGGCCCCTGATACTCAGAGCCCCCTCCCTCCCCACTGCCCCATCATGGGACTGGAGCACAGAAAGTCTACCAGGGTCAGGTGTGGGGGGAATGTGGGGAGCGTCTTTCTCCCCAGTCAGAGGCCACATCAGAGAGGGTTCATTTGTTTGGGTGGTTTGGTTCGTTTTTTTGTTTCTCACTTGTGTGTGGCCCCTAACTGATTTTTCTGTGGGTCAGTGGCCCCCGACCCAAAAAAGGATCCCCGCCCGTGTTAAGCAGGGCGCTCAGCCTGAACACTTGCTCACACAGCAGCCACCGCTCCTGAGCCAGAAGCTGCTGCCGAGACAGGTACCTCCCTCTCCCCTGACCCCATCTCTGCAGAGACCGGGTACCCCACGGGTTTTGCGGGGCATCCTGACACTAGCTCCCTCCCCTTCCCTAGTCTGTGCAGCATAGCAGAGCAGGAGGTGAGTAACTGCTGTCCTCATGGCGGGGGGAGAGCAGGAATCCACCTTCACGCTTTGACTCCCTGAGTCTGTCCACTGTCCCCCCCACGCTTGGGCAGTCAGTGTACAGAGAGCTCTGCCCTCTCCACGCAGCCCCGCAGGCCAGGGAGGTCCTGGTAAAACTAACTCCCGTACAACCACAGTCTTGCGTGAGGAGGCTGATCTCTTGGCATAACAGGATCATTGGCTGTGAGTTACCTTGTGGTTTAAACCACAGCTGGTTTCAGGGAGCTGCAGGGCCCAGCCCCTCCACCCCATGACTGACGCCACATCCTTGCAATGCTGAGATCCAAATTCTGGAGGACCTCCCCCCCCAGCTCCCCAACAAGACACACAAAGCCAGTGGTTGAGCCAGGAGCCTTGAACCCCCTCCCTATCCCCACTGGGATCTCAAGTTTTTATAGTATGTTGGGGGGCCTCAGAAAGAAAAGGGCTGGACACCACAGTTCCCTGTAAGCCAGGCACTCGTGTGGCTGCTCAGGAGAAATTCTGCTGAATTCTGAGAATATGCTGCCCAGCTGATTAGCAGAGCACCCACAGCTAGATTTGTGTTGACTGGTGGTGCACATGCACACATGCCTCAGTGCAAAAAATTATTCCACACGTGGATGGGAAAAATCTGCACGTGGATGGAAAAGCTGAGAGGGAACATTGTTGGACATTCTTCATGTAAATAATCATAGGGTCTAGACCAGTGGTCTCCAACCTTTTTACACCCAAGATCACTTTTTAAATGACAGACCAAGCCAAGATCTACTGCCCAGCCCCTTCCTTGAAGCCCCGCCCTCTCTATTCTCCTCCATCACTTGCTATCCCCAATCCTTATACTGCTGCTTATTATTATTATTAGTTTTTATTCTTCTGTAGGAAGAGGTTTTTCCAACATTTGGCCTGTCTAGACTGGATCAAATGTCAGAAAAAAACCCTTCTTTTGGAAGCCCCCTTATTCCTTGTGGAAAGAGGAATATAGGGGTGACCAAAAGAGCCTGTTTGCTCTTCCACTAAAAAAGCAGAAGAACAAACGCAACCCTGGATACAGAAGAGTTTTTCTGGGATATCTCCAGAATCCTGAAAAACTCCTGCAGTCTAGCTGGACCCTTGCTGTGTTGAGACAGGATGTGTAGGCTCTGGGGTGGGAATGAGGGATTTGGGTGTGGGAAGGGGTGAGAGGTGCAAGTGGGATCGGTTCTGTTCAATATCTTCATCGACTATTTTGATAATGACGTAAAGAGGACGCTTATTAAGTTTGCAAATTCGGAGGGACTGCAATTGCTTTGGAGGAGAGGCTCATCATTCAAAGTGAACTGGACAAATTGGAGAAATGATCTGAGGTAAACAGGGTGACGTTTAATAAGGACAAATGCAAAGTGCTCCACTTAGGAAGGAACAATCCGTTTCACACAAATAGAATGGGAAACGAATGGAAGGAGTCCTGCGGAAAGGGATCTAGGGGTCATTGTGCACCACAAGCTAAATATGAGTCAACAGTGTGATACTGTTGCAAAAAAAAGCAAACATGATTCTGGGATGCATTCACAGGAGCACTGTGAGCAAGACACGAGAAGTCATTCTTCTGCTCTACTCTGCCCTGATTAGGCCTCAGTTGGAGTATTGTGTCCAGTTCTGGGCGCCACATGTCAGGAAAGATGTGGAGAAATTGGAGAAGGTCCAGAGAAGAGCAACAAAAATGATGAAAGGTCTAGAAAACAGGAGCTATGAGGGAAGGCGGAAGGAATTGGGTTTGTTTAGTTTAGAAAAGAGATGACTGAGAAGGGACAGGATAGCAGCTTTCAAGTACCTAAAAGGGTGTTACAAGGAAGAAGGAGAAAAATTGTTCTCCTTAACCTCTGAAGATGGGACAAGAAGCAATGGGCTTAAATTTCAGCAAGGGAGGTTTAGGTTGGACATTAGGAAAAACTTCCTCACTGTCAGGGTGGTTAAACACTGGAATAAATTTACCTAGGGGGGCTTGTGGAATCTTCATCACTAGAGACATTTAAGAGCCGGTTAAACAAACATATATGAGGGATGATCTATTCTAGACAGTGCTGGGTCCTGCCGTGAGGGCAGGGGACTGGACTCGATGACTCTCGAGGACCCTTCCAGTTCTAGTGTTCTAGGATTCTGTGGTTTGTCAGCCCCAATGGTGTGCAACCAATCCCCCATGATCAGCTCACAGTGGCACATATGTTCTTGACACCTGCTCGGGGTGCCCCAGACCCCGAAACTGACACCCTCTTCCAACCCCAGACCCTACCCAGAGCCCGACACTGACACCCCCTTCCAACCCCAGACCCCAACACTCACACCCCCCTCCGACCCC